TCTCCTTATATGTTCATTGAAAAAAATCCTCTGAATACCGGAACCTCTGAATTCCGAAAACCGGACGATTTTCTATGGTTTCTAATGCTAAACATGCATAAAAAATCCTCTGAAAACCGGACAGCAATTTTAAGTGTCAACTTTCTGTGTATTTTAATGTAGATTAAAAAATAATCTCAACTGGTGACATGTTCAATTACCAATTAAGGATCACCTCCTTTTATCTATGCAGGTGTGAAAACACTTGTCAGTGTGTGTTAATTTCTTATGGCAATTATGGCAATTAAATTAAAGTTCTTTCATCATAATTGTGTCTTTCCCTGTATAGGCATGATTTTTCAAAATGTTTTGATTTTTGTTAAATACATGTATAAATGTCTAGCAAAACTTTTGTAAAATGATTTCTGTTTTGCTTAAAATTTTGACCTTGAAGTTATCTCTGGTTTGATATTAATTATATGCAAAAATATCAATACTAAATTCCATTAATTACATATTTCAAAAGCCAATTAAAAAGATATATTTCAGACAATGTGTTGTTTTAATTTCTGATTTTCAGAATTATATTTATGGATTTGCATAATAAAATTACTTAAGACATTTATTGCAAAAAGAAATTGAAATATGACTTAGACAAAAGGGTTGAAAAGCAAATACAAAATGATTGAACAAAGTCATTGTTCAAACACATCATATTAAACAATAAATGTATAAAACCTCTGAAAACCGGAATCCTCTGAAAACCGGACTTTTGGTCAAGTCCGGACAGGGTCCGGTCCGGTTTTCTGAGTTTTCTTCTAATACAAGAAATTTGATTGGCTGAACCTGAAACATACACTTAAACATACGAAATCCCGTCCACCGTGATAAAATGATGAAAACGCAATGGTACGATGGTGAAAACATGATGATACGAACGTAAAAAACGGTTGTATGATGGCGAAACACTGATGGTACAACGGGAATGGTGGAACTACGAAATCACGATGGTAAAAACGTAATGGTACGATGTGAAAATACGATGCTACGATGGTAAAAATACGATGCAACGATTATGAAACTGCGACGGCATGATAATGAAAACGCGATATTATTTTCACCATCGTGTTATTGCATCAGCGTGATTTCACCATCCTGTCATCGTTGTTTCATCATCGTACCGTCGTGTTGTCATCATCGTACCATCGTTACCTCACGTTACCAAAATTGTACCATTGTGCATAGTGTATCAGGGGAACAAAAATTGTTACATGTACTTATGTCCAAACGAAACACCGTAATCGGGCGATATTTGAACGATACAATATCGTGACTCGTTTCGCATCTCGCCTGAATCTCGCGTCTCTCTTCGCATATTGTACGTCGACGCCAGAGGCCATGTACCACTAAATATTCCCTCTATATTCTATATAAAATTGACATTTTTCAAAGACCTACAAAACATAGATAGATCCATTTTAGAGAACAAATAAAGAGTTATGATAAAACGGAAAAAATGTATCTCCAAAGAAAATGTCTAGCGTATCATTTGTTTTTGTAAAATTTGCCATGACGTGGAAAAACCACCAATATTAAAATTGAAATTCACTTTATAAAATAACACCTTTGCTCGCATTTTTGTTTTACCAAAATGTCTAAAATCGCATGTCCCTTTAAAAAAGCTATCGCGCGCACATGCAATAGTACTGGTATCGCGTGTCCACGTAATAGCTATCGCGTGCGCACGTAATAGATAAGAAAATACTATGTCCCCTATATGCCACCGTAGATACTACCTTGGTGTTGCAAAGAATATTTCTTAAATTATTTATAATCTTTAAGCATCGAAAAGAAACGTGTCACAATTAATAACGATAAGAATGGACTCTCTACATATGTGTTTGAGTTCTGGATACTGCACTGGTAGAAATTTTCATTGTGACACGCAGAACAGGGATATTCTTTTCGTTAATACATGTATAGGACTCCTGTGCAGAGGTAGGAAGTTTTTGGCCGGTCGGAAGTGACATAAAAACGGTATTATAAATACAGACAACACAGAACAATGACTGGTTACCATGATACGGTCGGGCATAATTATTACCATTTTAGAATTTTATGGAATAATGTGAGACAAATGTGATTCGAGTGTCCTTTCTATTGTGTGTCGAACACATCTGTCTCATTTCCCATTTTTCGCAAATATAAATGTTTACGAGCACATCGGTCACACCTCGTGAGACAAATGTGACCCGAGACAAATGTGCTCCTACATAGCTTGCAATACTTAGATTATTGCTTGTTGAACTAGGTGGCCTTCAACTCGTAGTCGAGATTCAAGTATTCGACCTCGCACTTTCAATACGTTTGCCTTTATCACAAAGTACTAATATGCAAATTGGATTTTAAGCGTTGGTACTAGTACCGGTTGCCCAACGTACACAGAGGTTGGTTAGTTTATGTCTGGGGGATACTGAACTTGAATACTAGAATGCAAGAAACGGTAATACAGAGTATTGAACTTTATTCGGACTGTGTGAATTCGTTGTGTTAGGAGTCGGATAGGACGAGTTGGTAATCTCGGTGAGAGTGATCCATTCTCCCGGAATAACAGTCTTGTAATTCTAATGTTGTTTCATGATCGTCATACACACCGATGGTCAATGTTGTACTTATACAGTAAAGAAAAGTTATACACTGAATATTTCGAATTCGAGCATGTTTTACATAAAATGTATTACATTCTGTATTACATTTTATTCAGTCCAGAAGTAGTAAACAACGAGAATAAATGGTCAGCTATGATCGATCCTTTATTAATATCTATAGTCGCAGTGAAAACAGTTTTGAGGGAGCCTTGATGCGTGCCTTATATGTGACTGCTATCTATGAGTAAATACAAAAAAACACAAACTATTTCGGCAACTGTATACATAGTTCTTTGACCAATGTGATTGCAATAGATTTTTTATTTTGAAACAAGAAAAAAATAGTTAGAAATAGGCAGTTGACAGTACACTGTTTGTTGTAACGTTATCACAATATTCGGAATGTTTTGATATTATTGCTTTAAAATATGCACAGCAAGCAATAGACAGTAAGCAAAACGCTGTATTTTTTATGTCTTGTAGTGAAAATATAATAACAACTTTTAAACCTTTAAACTATTTTAACTTTTATCCTCATTACATCGGATGTTTAATGTTGAATAGATAACTTGAAAACAACTTTAATATTCATACCTTTTATTTTCCTTTATTTTTATAATTCCAAATACTTTTAACTTTAAGTTCACATTTATACATCACAGCATAGTAAATCTCAAATCAGTCCCTAACAATCGAAAAAGTGAACACCTTTTATAGTAAATATTTAAGCGGGAAAATTAGCATGAAAATATCGAAAACCATGAAAATCAGGAAATACATGAAATACATGAAAATATTTAATAATATTGCTCCCATCAATTGTTTATATACTCCATTGGGAGCAGCCTGCTCCCTTTCGTAAAAACATAACAAAATATAACAAAGTTCATAAACTCGCTCTTTGCGACACTCCCACCTGGGAATATGACAATGGTATAATGTCAATCTGTTCACATATTTACATATTCGTATACTTGAAATAATCTGTTTCCACTGATCCTGATTGGTCTATTATATTGCCACTGTTGTCAAGGATTGTGTCCTTTTTAAATGTTAATATGAAGATTTCCGTTATCCTATCAAATGGTAACTCCACAGTTCCGTCATGTAGCTCCTGGTCATCAACATCACTACAAATAATAACATCATCAGATTCATTATCATCAGCATCATACATTTCATCCATATGTTCATATATTTCATCATCATCACCGGAACTTCCATTTTCAGTTTCTTCAAGATCATCATTATAATCCAAAATATCTTCATTGTCACTTTCTTGCCTACTGTTTATTCCATCTGTATCATCATCATTATTATAAGCACAAGTATCGGATTCCCTGTCATCAACATAAGAATCCCTTTGATCAGAATCACAACTGCCAACACCAACACCATCTTCAGGAGCACTGCAATAACTTTCTTCCTTGTCGTCGGCATTATTATTTACATCTACAGCCTCCATCTTATCATCATGATATTCCATACTTAGAGTGTTATCACTTATTGAAGAGATTACTTCCAAATCAAGATTGTCAGTGTGGGGTTGCTGCTCTTGGAATAAGTCTAAGTCGAATTGGTCGATGATTTTATTTTGTATTTCTATGTTAGGTTGAGCAGCAGTTTCAATTTCAGCAATGATTTGTACTATTGCATCATCATCTTCATTTATATCTTCGTACCCATCTTTATCGGGCATTGAAGAATTACACCTTAGCGCCGTTTGAAGTGCCTGTACTCTTGATAAACTATGCGTTTTCTCCAGATGGTTCACAAGATTGTAACGCCTTGTGTACTTTGTTTCACATCCTTCTATAGCACAATGCCAATAATTATGATACAAATGTTTTTCTGAAATATGACGAGTCAAATTCCTTTTCAAAGTAAATATTGCTTGACAAGTGTCACAAAAATACATTTTTAAGCAAGACAGAATATGTTTCTCGATTGAAAACTGAGCAAACAATGAATACTAAGCATGTGGCTATAGCGCACAAAAATCTCGCAAAACCCGTGCAAATTTCCCGCCATTTATTTCTCTATATCTTTGCTCCCGCCGATCACATGATTTCACGGTATTGGTTACACAAACTCTTTGCTCCCGTTTACAATAGTTTAGATAACGGATTTTGCTATCTATGCGGGGCTGTTAAATAATAAACAGTTTCTCAAAATATGTACAAAAAAAAATATTCACACGTCATTATGGTTGCTTTTATACATTTTACACATAAAATTCATTCCAATATACAGCAATCTTTATACATTTTTTTATGTTTTCAATATTTTTGCAGCATATGTAATTTTTTTTTTTTTACATTACTTAAAGTTATTTCGCGCATATGCGACGCTTCCGCCAAAGATGTTGAATTATCACATATTTTGGAACATTTGTCTAGCTTTCTCTGCAGCTTTACGCATAGGCCTTAATGTTTTGAATTGACAATCCTTTGCTCCTGTCTCTTGTTGGTGTGAATTTCTTTTAATATCTGGATCCCTAATTTTTGACTCTGACATTTCAATAGGGTAAAGCAAATTAAGAGGCCGTCTCAAAATTTGTCCAATTGAGGTTTCTAATTCAGCAGACCGAACTTGTCCATCCCTACTTGTGCGTAAATTTATTATTTTTGCTAGTTTCCACTGACCTCGTGGAAGATCATCTTTTATAATAACTATATCTCCTAAGTTAGGTGATTCGGATGATTGCACTTTTACAGATTTAATTTTGTTCTGTGATCTCTCTCGTAAACTAAGCAAATATTCATCTCGCCATAAGATCCAAAATTTATTCAGGAGTCGTTCTCCTTTTTTCCATAGTTGTAATAACCTCTCGGCAGAACTTTCATATGGTTTAAATTCTGGATCGCTGTAATCATAATCAAGAATTGGTATTCCAGTTTTCGGATTTAAGCAGAGAAAATGACCTGGTGTTAAAGTTATTGATGACTTTATGTCTTCGCCAACATACACTAGAGGTCTCCTGTTGACTACAGCTTCTATCTCTTTAACGACAGTGCTTATTTGATCCATCAATAACAATTTCTTTCCTAGAGCTTTCCTCAATGCACGCTTTACAATTCCAACTAATCTTTCATATACACCTCCCATCCAGGGCGCCAGTTCTACTATGAAGGTCCATTTAATACCCTCAGTGGATGCGTAATTTTGTACATCTGCTTCTTGCAATGTTTTCGCCCATATCAATCTAATAGTTTGATTAGACAATTTGAATTGTTTGGCATTGTCGCTGATTATTTCCTTTGGTGTTCCTCTTACTGCTACGAATCTTCTTAGACACAAAAGAAAGGAATAAGCTGTCATATCTTGTACAATTTCCAAATGTATAGCACGAATAACTAGACAAGTGAAAATGCAAATCCAAACCTTTTTAATTTCATTATTTTCCTTTATATAAAGCGGTCCGAGATAATCTAAGCCTACAGAAGAAAATGGAGTAGTTTCTGTGACACGTTCTCTCGGCAAGGGAGCCATAGATGGCAATTTATAAGGACCACCTTCAACTCGTCTACAGACTCGGCACGATTTTAACACCGAACGAATCGTTGCTCTTCCTCTTGGAATCCAAAATCTTTGTCTTGTCTCACTTAGAGTCTGCGACACACCGCTGTGTAATATTTTATTATGCATCCTTTCAATCAAAAGAATTGTGAACTTGTCTTTTCTTGGAAGTAATATTGGTCTTCTAGCGGCTTCGCAAAGATTAGCGTGTTGTAGTCGTCCGCCACATCTTATCATTTCTGATTCATCAACAAACAAATCCAACTGTTTTACCAAATTATTGGGTCTTTCATCTTGTATAGATTGAAAAACATCAGCAAAATGGTTTCTTTGAATCTGTTTTAACCATAACTGTTCCGCTTCGTTGATTTCATCAATGGAAAGAGTATGACTTCTATTTGAGCGACTTCTCGCATTTCGAATAAATCGATTGCACCATGCTGTAACTCTTAGTAATTTTGATATAGATGAAAACTTGTTAACATCTATTCCAAACGGCGTTTTTTCTTCTTTGTTGTTTTCAGTTAATAGACAACCTTCCGTTAAATAATCAGATTCAGATAATTTTGCGTCTTCTTTCGGCTCATCACTAATTTTTACATCGAATAGTGTTTTAATATCTTCCCTTTGACACTCATTTGTTCTTTCATTGAATTCATAATCTTCTTCAGAAATATAACATAGTGTCTTTCCTTGTAAGCCTGTCACAATCTTTTGTAGCATCTTGGAGCCATGCCAATATATTTGATTTTTACATAAATCCACCAAGGTACTCCCGCGACTTGCTACATCCGCTATATTGTCTGCAGATTTCACAAAGCTACATGTAATATCACTATAGCTGTTTATTTCTTTGACACGATTCTTTATGAATACAGGGAGTGACTTTTCTGACGACAACCATTGGAGAACACACTGAGAATCAGTTAACAAAATAAGATGTTCCAATGGCAGCTGTATTTGTTTTTCTACAAACTTTAAGCATCTGACTCCTATAAGTACTGCCATTAATTCAAGTCTAGGAATGGTCATTACTTTAACTGGTGCAAGTCTACATTTAGAAAACATCAAGTCACACTTAAACATTTTGTCTTTAAGTTGTATCAGATAAATAAGTGCTGAATATGCTTTACTTGAGGCATCACTGAAGCAAACTAGTGAATATTTTACACCTTCTATGTCATCTGCTATGGTTAGATTCCTTTGTATTCTTACATTTTCAATTTGCTCTAAGTCACGTCTGATTTCAAGCCAGTCATCTGAATCTTCTTTATCTAACAAATCATCCCACTCATAACCTTTGCACCAAACTCGTTGGAGCAATAATTTACCAAGCAATGTTACTGGAGAACACATTCCTAACGGATCATACACTGATGCAATCTGTTTCAAAACGTTTCTTTTTGTAATTTTGACCTCTTCCTTAATTGACTTTGCCCCTTTTAATGATAGAGTATCATCCTTTACATTCCACCAATGGCCCAACACTTTAACAGTATTACCATTTGATCTATCTTCTTCATGAATTGTCATGCGAAGCTCCTTATTGTTAGTCATCCACTCGCGTAGGTTCATATTCATTTCACCGAAAATTGATTTCGCTCTTTTATACAATTCAACTGCTTCAACTTTCGTTTGTACTCCTGTTATCACATTGTCCATGTAAATATCTTCTTTTAACTGATTTGCCAATTTTGAATTGTATTTGTCCAAATGACTTTCAATAGTAGCTCCAAGTAAAAATGGACTGGAAATAATTCCAAAGGGAACCCGACAAAACCTATATTCTTGTATGCAATTTTCAGTAACCATAGGCTTTTCACAATCCTTTAACCATAAAAAGCAGGTAACATCCCTTTCAGGTTTCTGTAACTCCACTTGGAGAAATGCCTTTTCTATATCCGCTACAATGCCAATATTGTGTAATCTGAATCTCATGATTATGCCGCACAGGTTATGTAACAGCACAGGGCCTCTATATAAGCATTCGTTGAGACTTTTATAGTCTTTTCGTGTTTTTGCAGATGCGTCGTATACAATTCTCATTTTTGTAGTGCTTTTCTCTGGAGTAATCACTACGTGGTGAGGAATATAGTGTTTTAATCCATCACTAACATCCGTTTCCGTCTTTTCTATTATCCCCTTTTCAAGCTGATCTTTAATGATGTCATCATATCGTTTCATTATCTCTGGTTGTTTCTCTAGTCTACTAACAAGGGATCTTAACCTACCTTTTGCCAAACCACGATTTTCTGGTAAATCTGGGAACTCTTCTCGCCAAGGCCATGTTACTTGGTATCTACCATTATTAAACTGAAGTGTCTCCCTAAAACGTTCCATTGCGGTTTCATCTTCAGATTGATCGATTCTATCTGTGATACCTATACTCTCAATACTCCAAAAGTCTTCCAAGTTTGGTTTTGTGGGAAGAACTCTATCAACACATGTGAGCAAGTTTGTTTCAGTGGCATTTTCGCCATATGTAAGGATCAACATACTCGCTTCAGGTGTTTTAACAGCTTCATCATTTGATTTCATTCTACCAGACAATATCCATCCAAGCTTTGATGATAACAAGTAAAATCCTGGTTGTATTTCGATTTTTTCCGGTTGAGTTATATCCAAATAATAATCGTTTCCTATTAAAAGTTCTAACGTAACAGCTTCATTCTTGTTTGGAATTGTATCCGCCAGCATCAAGTTTTGTGTAATTTCTTTAAACCTTCTTGGTGAATTGAGCTTTACTTGTTTACGCGTTATTGTTCCAGTCAATGTTGGTACAATATTTGCCACTAAAGTCATATAAGTGCCATTATTTAATTTTACTTTTAGCTTAGTACTTTTAGTTTTAATAACCTTTTCCTTTTTACTACCAAATGTCACTAACTGAATATGTTGCTCCTTATCAACCTTAAGTCTAAGTCGATGCGCCAAATCTTCAGTTATGTAAGTCCTTTGGGAGCCTGAATCTAGAATTAATCTGACTTCATCAGATGCTCCACTTTCAGGATTCTCAATACTACATTTCGCAGTTTGCATCACAACTGATTCATCACAAGACAGGAGTCCTATTTCACCAGACATATTTTCAGCTTCATTGCTTTCAAGGCTCTTTACTTCTTTTGAAAGATAAACACTCTCTTTAGGTGTCTCCCTTTTGAATTTCCTTCCACATAAGCTCCTATGGTGGGTGTTAAATTCACCACAATATACGCAGCCTTTCGACGATTTACACTGACTTGAGATGTGTCCTTCTTTGAGACATCTATAGCAGCTCCCTTTAATTCGTCTTTTTCTTTCGGTTATAGTCGTGTAATTTGGACATTCATCGCTCCAGTGTTTCTGGTCACAGTATCTACATTTCAATATGTTTGAATTCTTTGACTTTTCACTAGTGACTAAAACACTCGATGAAGAAACTCCTTGCTTTTCAGGTCTGTTAAACCTTCTCGAACCATTTGTCGCATCCAAATCATATATAGTAGAATCTTTGCTCCAATGCTTTGGTTTCACAATATCTGCGTTTTCAGCTTTTTTTTTTGCCACGATGTATTGACGAAGTAAGTCACGTAAGTTACACACTGACCACTTTTTTCAGTTCCTTTCATTATCTCAATTTGAAGAAGAACGTCATTTGGTAATTTCTTCTTATCATTGATACACAAATGTCTTGGGTTGTATCTTGGCTCAAAACTTCAAGACATCGAAGGTATTTCTCGACCTTATCAATGAACTGTCTTAAATTCTCCACGGAATTTCTTGCAGGATTCATATCCATCAATGCTTTGTAGTAGAATCTATTGTCTCCTGCCTTTTTCCGAATCTTTTATGCAATAACTCAATAGCGACTGAATAATTCGTATTTGATAAGGTAAGACCTATTATTGCATTCAGCATCTCCCGTAAGCTTGCTCTTCAAATAATTGAATTTATCAACATCTGAGAGATTATCATTTTTATGCACAGAATTTTCAAAAGAATCCAAGAATTCAATCCAGTATAACTTGTTTCCATTGAAAGATGGTATGTCAATCTTAGGTAATTTTACCGTGTCTTTCTTTACTCGTTTGCTTTCAACTAAATCTCTCTGTAATTCCATTTGAGCTTCAAACATTTTCTTCATTTCTTCCGTAACTACAGCTAAAGATAAAGCACGCTCCTTTTCTTCTTTCTTGTTATGTTCTGTTTCCTTACTTTCTTGCAAAGTGTCCTCAAAAATCTGTAGCTTATGATATAAAGTGCTAGCCTCTTCTATTATATCGGAGTCATTTTTTATTATTATGTCTATAAATTCACTGTCTTTGTCATCGATTGCTTGAGATAATTTCTCGGACTGCATCATAAGCTTGTCGTTATATAAGTTGATACTAAGCTTAGCTTCCAGCACACGCTGACGTAGTTGTTTATATTCATCAACATCAAACAAATCACTCAAATCAGTATTCAAAATTTCTTTTACGTTTTGTATCTCTTCCAACAGTTTGTTGTAAAATCTTGTTCGCACACCTTTCAAGTATTGAAGTCCCGACATACTGGATGAATTGTCAGCACACTAATTTCACTTTAAGTAATCAATACACAAAACCTTAAACACTGCTTTTTATGAGAATAATTGCTGCTCCCGGGTTCCGGCGCCAATCAATGTAGTGAAGATATAATAACAACTTTTAAACCTTTATACCATTTTAACTTTTATCCCCATTACATCGGATGTTTAATGTTGAATAGATAACTTGAAAACAACTTTAATATTCATACCTTTTATTTTCCTTTATTTTTATAATTCCAAATACTTTTAACTTTAAGTTCACATTTATACATCACAGCATAGTAAATCTCAAATCAGTCCCTAACAATCGAAAAAGTGAACACCTTTTATAGTAAATATTTAAGCGGGAAAATTAGCATGAAAATATCGAAAACCATGAAAATCAGGAAATACATGAAATACATGAAAATATTTAATAATATTGCTCCCATCAATTGTTTATATACTCCATTGGGAGCAGCCTGCTCCCTTTCGTAAAAACATAACAAAATATAACAAAGTTCATAAACTCGCTCTTTGCGACATGTCTTGCTTATCAACACCAATTCCTAAGTGATATAATAAATATCTTAGCATCAGAGTATCATTTTTCATAGCTCCGTCCTATTCAATCTACTCTAATGTAAGAAACCAGTTATTTGGAAATACACCACATCTGATATCTTGACACATGTCTTCGAATCAGTTAAAAAAATCAACATAAAATTGGTTTTTTAGAAGAAATTAATTTTCATCATGTTTTCGTTTGCATGTGCATTAACCAAAGGTCAGTTCTTCCTGATTTGCTGGAAAAAAATAAAACCCGATTAATACTACCAACTACAGAAAATATTATGAAAAGTGAAAATGTCGAAAATTATATGTCGAATTACGCACCTATGTCCAGATTGAAAGTTAAAGTTTCCTCGTTTAATGAAAAAAGAAATCCTGTCCAGTTTGTAAATTTGAAAAAAGACGTACATCATATATAAATCATTTATTGATAAATTATGTTATGTTCGGTCATGAAATCGATTACCTGGAGTATTCAGAAGTGTTCGGCAGGCATTACGAAGGCAACCGATCTTCGGTTGTAAATTTAAAATTTCTCTAAAATACAATTACATATATGATAAAACAATATATATAACATTGTCTTCCTTCTTTCTGTAACATGTCCCCATAAGTTAGATTGACTGCTTTACTCAACCCAGTTAATAGTGTTATTTTTTACCAATTGATGTTGAATAACAAAATAAAATAAATTTGTATTAACTAAAAATTAACACTGAAAATAGTCATATTATGGAAGTTGTAATACATGATTTGTTGAAAATGTATTATTCATGTCAATGCTCAATGCTCGTTTTATAATTTTGCTACTGCTACTGCTGAGCTACTGCTACTGCCAACTTCACGTTTTATAAATTTGCTACTGCTACTGCTGAGCTACTGCTACTGCCAACTTCACGTTTTATAATTTTGCTACTGCTACTGCTGAGCTACTGCTACTGCCAACTTCACGTTTTATAATTTTGCTACTGCTACTGCTGAGCTACTGCTACTGCCAATTTCACGTTTTATAATTTTGCTACTGCTACTGCTGTCCTACTGCTACTGCCAACTTCACGTTTTATAATTTTGCTACTGCTACTGCTGAGCTACTGCTACTGCCAACTTCACGTTTTATAATTTTGCTACTGCTACTGCTGAGCTACTGCTACTGCCAACTTCACGTTTTATAATTTTGCTACTGCTACTGCTGAGCTACTGCTACTGCCAATTTCACGTTTTATAATTTTGCTACTGCTACTGCTGAGCTACTGCTACTGCCAATTTCACGTTTTATAATTTTGCTACTGCTACTGCTGAGTCCTACTGCTACTGCCAACTTCACGTTTTATAATTTTGCTACTGCTACTGCTGAGCTACTGAAACTGCCAACTTCACGTTTTATAATTTTGCTACTGCTACTGCTGAGCTACTGAAACTGCCAACTTCACGTTTTATAATTTTGCTACTGCTACTGCTGTGCCACTGCTACTGCAAACTTCACGTTATATAATTTTGCTACTGCTGTGCAACTGCTACTGCCAACTTCACGTTTTATAATTTTGCTACTGCTACTGCTGAGCTAATGCTACTGCCAATTTCACGTTTTATAATTTTGCTACTGCTGTGCAACTGCTACTGCCAACTTCACGTTTATTATTTTGCTTCTGCTACTGCTGAACACTGCTACTGCCAACTTCACGTTTTATAATTTTGCTACTGCTACTGCTGATCTACTGCGTCTGCCAACGTCACGATTTATAATTTTGCTACTGCTACTGCTGAGCTACTGCTACTGCCTTCTTCAAGTTTTATAATTTTGCTACTGCTACTGCTGATCTACTGCTACTACCAACTTCACGTTTTATAAATCTGCTACTGCTACTGCTGAGCTACTGCTACTGCCAATTTCACGTTTTATAATTTTGCTACTGCTGAGCTACTGCTACTGCCAACTTCGCGTTTAATAATTTTGCTACTTTTGAGCAACTGCTACTCCCAACTTCACGTTTTATAAATTTGCTACTGCTACTGCTGAGCTACTGCTACTGCCAACTTCACGTTTTATAAATTTGCTACTGCTTCTGCTGAGCTACTGCTACTGCCAATTTCACGTTTTATAATTTTGCTACTGCTGAGCTACTGCTACTGCCAATTTCACGTTTTTATAATTTTGCTACTGCTACTGCTGTCCTACTGCTACTGCCAACTTCACGTTTTATAAATTTGCTACTGCTACTGCTGAGCTACTGCTACTGCCAACTTCACGTTTTATAATTTTGCTACTGCTACTGCTGAGCTACTGCTACTGCCAATTTCACGTTTTATAATTTTGCTACTGCTACTGCTGTGCTACTGCTACTGCCAACTTCACGTTTTATAATTTTGCTACTGCTACTGCTGTGCTACTGCTACTGCCAATTTCACGTTTTATAATTTTGCTACTGCATTGCTACTACTGCTGTGCTACTGCTACTGCCAATTTCACGTTTTATAATTTTGCTACTGCTACTGCTGTGCTACTGCTACTGCCAATTTCACGTTTTATAATTTTGCTACTGCTACTGCTGTGCTACTGCTACTGCCAACTTCACGTTTTATAAATTTGCTACTGCTACTGCTGAGCTACTGCTACTGCCAACTTCACGTTTTATAATTTTGCTACTGCTACTGCTGAGCTACTGCTACTGCCAATTTCACGTTTTATAATTTTGCTACTGCTACTGCTGTCCTACTGCTACTGCCAACTTCACGTTTTATAAATTTGCTACTGCTACTGCTGAGCTACTGCTACTGCCAACTTCACGTTTTATAATTTTGCTACTGCTACTGCTGTGCTACTGCTACTGCCAATTTCACGTTTTATAATTTTGCTACAGTTGTGCTACTGCTACTGCCAATTTCACGTTTTATAATTTTGCTACTGCTACTGCTGTCCTACTGCTACTGCCAACTTCACGTTTTTATAAATTTGCTACTGCTACTGCTGAGCTACTGCTACTGCCAACTTCACGTTTTATAATTTTGCTACTGCTACTGCTGAGCTACTGCTACTGCCAATTTCACGTTTTATAATTTTGCTACTGCTACTGCTGTCCTACTGCTACTGCCAACTTCACGTTTTATAAATTTGCTACTGTTACTGCTACTGCTCACTGCTACTGCTAACTTCCTACCGGTAAAAGTTGTTCTATATAAGTTAGAATACATAAATATCTATAGACACATTATCAGTTAACTTCATATTTTTTATAACTTATACCAACATTACGTACGTTCATAATGTTGATTTATTCTGGTGTATATTCCAATGCAAATAAGGCAAATAACGCCTATGATATGACACGATCGTCATAAACTAATTGACCAATGAATTAATGATAATTAATAAGAGAATTCTGGTGACATTTATATCAGCACTAGCCGCTTACTCTCCAGTGATTTAGGTGACCACTGTCCGCATTGTATTTAGAACTTCCCTTAAGATCTATTCTCATTAATCTGTATCATGGTTGACATGAAATCTTAATTGTGTTATGTATGCAACATATTACATGTATATAATTTATATCTGACCAGTTGGTATTTCCAATATTATCATTGTTCTATTTTTAGAACATAAACTACATGTATGTACTAGAAGGTTCTTAACTGTTGTAGAAAACTCATGCATTATATTTAGATAGAAACTTCTGGAATGATCTTTATTGTTGAAGTTGCTAGATTATGATTACTTGAGAACATAATAGACCTTTCTGGAAACTTCTTAGTTAATATATATAAGGAGACATTTTTCATTAATCTTATCTTTAAGTCATCAGTTACCTTTTTAGTCATCAGTGATCTTTTAAGTCATCAATATATTTGGAGTATTATTCAACTTGGAAATTAAGTGATTTATTGGAGCTTGGATTATTAATTATTCTTGTGGATTTTATTGTGGGAATTTATTCTAAAGTGTTCTTGGATTTAACTTGGATTTAACTGTGCTATTGAAAAAGGATCATTCCAGGATCAGACTAGACATTTGTAATTTTTATTTGGACTTCAGGTATTTGTAAAGATAATTTGTTATTTTATTTTTACTTTAATAATTTTTCTGTAATAAATTTGTTATTGTTACAAGTTTGTTGCTGGCTTTTCTTTCTCGTTACGCCTGGCTCGTAACAATTGTTTCCATTGCAACGTAACATTTAACTCTTACCATTAGTGATATGCAATTGTCCATATTTCGAATATGGATGCAGCTATTTAACAATTTCAGAGATAGTTTTAGATTTACTCGTACACTGAATAAAATTAATAGCGGGCAGTGTTAACGTCTAGTCTTAAGCTGTAGAATCGGTTGCGACCAGCTGACTATGATTTTAATTAATTTTTCATATGGTTATGACCTGTCAGTCTAATAAGAATAATTTATTGCAAAACTGATAGAAAAAAAATTGCTGAGA